CTCAACACTTATTCCGAGTTATTTTTCTTTTTTTTTTTTTTTTTTTTTTTTTTTTTACAGAATCATCTCTCGAACCAAATACACACACGGGTTACCTAGCACCGATTTTTCTTTCATTTCACCCCACTCCTTTTCCTTCTCCCCCACCACCACTATCATCCTCTCCCACTTTTTGTTTGTTTGTTAAGTTATTACTATTACTTTTTAGAAAGTATGACGACAGTTAGTATCGTTGAAAATGATTCCCTCGATTCATCATTCATTATTTTTTATTTCTTTTTTTTTTTCATACTTCATCTACAAACAAAATGATTTATGTGTGTAATGAATATATGTATGAAATATTTGTTAATATTGAGGTTATGTCAAAATACTGTATAATTCATGTTTATTTCTTTTATTTTTTGTCAATACTAAACAACAAAATTATATACGTACTTATACATGTGTATGTATGTATGAAATATTTGTTCATACTAAAAATTATCTCAAAATATTATCTAATACTTTTACATAATAAACAAATGAACAAAAAATATTGAGTATTCTTATCCCCCTCCCCCCTCTTTTATTAATCATTATTATTGTTTGTAACTGTATATAGTTATGAATTACATACACATGTAGATAGATATGTCATGTAATAGATGAACTCGTACATTGAGCATTTCTGATGGCACTGGCCGATAATCGCAATTCCTTTCCCCCCTTCCACCCTTTCCTATATCTTCCATTTCTTCTTCTTCTTCTTCTTCTTCTTCTTCTTTTTCCTTAACACGCGATTGTCAATTCGACGAAATTCATGGTTGTCGAAGTAGACATTTCCGCTCTTTCCTCCCTAACCTAACTTAACCAATTGTCTCCTAACCACCCACCTGAATAAAAACAAATTAACATAAATATCCCTGACTAGACAATAATAGAAAAAAACATTTACAATCTTAATTAGACGTCATATCATAATCAATAATTTAATCGAATAATACAAACAAAATAAACCCGCCCCCCTAACCTAACTTATGCCCTCATCACCATCCACCTTAACCAAAAAAAAATGTAAAATAAATATCCTTGACTAAACAATAATACAAAAAAAAAAAAACATGTACAATCTTAATTAGACGTCATATCATAATCAATAATTTAATTGGATAATACAGACGAAATAAAAAACAAACAAAAAACAAGAACAAATATAAAAAAAACTACAAATAAAAAATTGCATATTATCATAATCGTTAAATCGATTATGGGTTAATGTTACTCGATCAATCGTGTGATAAATAAAAAAAAAAAAAAATAATAATAATAATAAAAAAAAAGTCATGCAATTAATCTGAACTCAAGGAATGCAAGGTGTGGGGTGGGGTAGGGGGTGTTGATATTATCTTATTGTAAGTAAACGATGATGATAATGACGATGATTCAAAACCCACTATGTTTACTTCATTAACGATTCATACGGTAGAGAAGAAACGAAGTAACGAATGGAATTTAAATGTTACTTTTATAATATACATATATCTATATATAACTATAGATATACATATATATATATATGTGTGTGTATGTGTGTGTGTGTGTACTACGACTGTATATTTATTCTTCAGCTCTGGCAGACTGGATTTACTGGCTAATTTCTAAACACAACTTCTACACTTATATACCACATTTGCCAAGGAAAAAAAAAGTACACACATTTATACATATATATATATATATATATTTATAAAAGAAAAAATAAGAGAGAGAGAGAGAGAGAGAGAGAGAGAGAGAGAGAGAGAGAAAAAAGAAGATAAGAGTAAATAACAAGACAAAAATTTTCCATAAGTAAATGTTCGTCGTTAAATAATCCGATAGGAAAATAAAAATCAAAATAAAAGTAAAAATAAAAAAAAAAATCCTTACAAAAATAAAAAAAATAGAATTCAAAATAAAAATCAAAATAAAAATCAAAAATATACAAATACAAATAAAAATAAAAAAATAGAAATCAAAATAAACATAAAAATACAAATAAAAATAAAAAAATAGAAATCAAAATAAACATAAAAATACAAATAAAAATAAAAAAATAGAAATCAAAATAAACATAATAATACAAATAAACAGACAAACAAAATAAAGGATCTTTATATTATTCAATGTTTAATTAATATTATATTATTCAATGGTAAATTATTATTATTATTATTACAAAAAGATAATAATTAATTTTCTAGAGTACTAGGAATTAAAGGTATAGGGATGGGAAAAGGGATAGAGATTTATTATATATTTTTTACGAATATATTTCTCAAACGAGACATAAATAAATTATTATTATTATTATATTTTATTAATTTATCTAATTATTATATTATTATTTCTATTATTATACTATTATATTACAATAATAATACTATATTAATAATTATATATATAATTATAAAACAAACGTAAAATGAATAACAAATTTCTTTTCAAACCCCAATCCAAACCCCATTGTCCAAAAATGTAATAAAATAAAAAACAAAAAATCCAAAAATCAAAATGAAAACAAAATTATTTCAATTGAAATTTAAAAACAAATACGAAAATAAATTGTAATTTTAATTCTTTTTTTTTTGGTTTTCATTTTATTCCATTTCCCCCTTTTCATTTTTTTGATTTCCTCACAAAAAATATAAAATGAAAAACCCAAAAATAAAATTACTCCATTCAAAAAAAAAAAAAAAAATACGAAAATAAATTCTAATTTCATTTTATTCTTTTTCTCATTTCTTTTTTTTTATTTCCTCACGAAAAAAAAAAAGAAATTTTAACCTACGATGAGAATCTTTCGAAAGAGAAGACTACAAAACGAGATAAAAAAAAAATTAAAAAAAATAAAATACTTACACACCGTTACAACGTTTCTCATATAAGGTGAAACGCGAAATAGTAATAGAAGAAGATAGAAAAGTAGTTAAAGAAAAAGAGAAAGATACACACACACACACATATATATATATAAAAAGATAGAAAAGATGGTGGGGATTGGTTAAAGGCAAACCAGGAGAGAAACAGGTAAAACAAAAAGTTAAGAAAAAATCAAAAACCAGTCTCCTTCGTGCAGGAGTTGATAGTCCCCAACCTACCCAACTCTCTCTCTCTCTCTCACACTTTATATGTATCCGTTTAAACATATATACATAAATATATATACATGTATATATATGTGTTTACGTGTAAGTGTATATTTCTATCTCTTTTTCCCCTTTCGTTGATTTTTTTTATTTTGTTTCTTTTTTTTTTCTACTCCATTCCACTCCTTTCAACTACTCTCATCGTTACCACCACCACCACCATTATCCACCACCTCCTTTTCCTCCTCCTCCTCTTTTTCTATTTATCTCAAGCAAACGCATAGGACACCACTTTTTCTATCTTTATCTTNACCTCAACCTCAACCTCCTCCTCCTCTTCCTCCTCCTGGTTTTGCCACGGCGGCGGTTCCTCACGGTCCACGCTCTTCCTTAATTCAGTCCAATGAGAACCGTTCTTCGATTCGTCACACTTGCTAAGAATAATATCGGCGTGCAGTAGGAAAATTTGTTTGTTTTATTTTGTTGTTGTTGTTGTTGTTTATTTATATTTATATATAAACAAAAGAAAAAGAAAAAGTGTGATTTTTTTTATTCAAGAAACTTTTTTTGTGAGGTCAAAAAGACCTCAGTGTCTTCCTCCTCCACCTCCAGCACCACCACCTTTTTCACCCTCTATCGTCCAATTAAATAAATCGTTTTATTTTTGAATTTCTTACCCCCACCACTGGGACATGAAACTTTAGGATTTTTGTTTTTATACAATTTGATTGCGAACAAATATTTTTCACAAATTGTTTTGTTCTTTTTCTTCTGTTTTTGTTTTGTTTTGTTTTGTTTGTTAATTATTATTTTATTTTATTTTGTTTTTATTTTTGGTTTTATTTCGTTGTTATTTCCGTTCACCATAACCACCACCATTATAATCATCAAGCACTATCACTCACTCACTCATGTATTTTTCCGAACGAACGCGAACATTCAATACGTGTGTTGAAAACACATAACATCGTGAAGTTTAAGTGTCGTAACGGTGTTTATTAATCAAATGGTTGAATAAAGTTTAAATTAAAGTTATTAAATAAACAAAAAGATTAATTGTTCATTTGAAAGAAGAAGAAATATAATTTACAAAGAAAAAGTAAAAAGAAATTGCAATATTGCAATATTATATGAAGAAAACTAACAAAAATACTAGTAAAATACTAAACAACATACTAGTAAGATAAATACTAAGTAAATAAATAGACATTTTGAAGTATCTTTTTGCAAACAAAAAATAAAATATAATACAAGATTAATTTTTTATTTAAAGAAAGAAATATAGTTTATAAAGAACAAATAAAAAGTTATTGCAATATTATATTAACAAAACTAGCAAATACTAGTAACTAACAAATGTTAGTATATATAAGTATTAATAATTAAATAAGTAAACATTTTTAAGTATTTTTTTATTAAAAAAAGGATAAAATAAAAGATTAATTTTTCATTGAAAATAAAAAATAAAAAGATCTTCCAATATTGCAATATTAAATTAACAAAACTAACAGATACTAGTAACACATAAATACTAGCATTAATAAATAAATAATTAAACATACCTAAATATCATTTTTATAAAAAAAAAGACACAAACAATAATTAAAAATTGTTTCTTCTTCTTCTTTCTATTTTTTGTTTATTTTTTTCAATAGGAAATTGTTTGATATGAAAAAGTAGAAACGTTGAATCGAAGGATTCTCACCTGGTCCCAGTTTGTAGTGTCCTCCATTAAGGAACCACTTCTTCTTCTTCTTCTTCTTCTTCCTCTTCCTTTTCTTCTTCTTCTTCTTCTTCGAGTTTCTTAGTAGAGACATGAGTTTCAACAGTCAAGACGACGCACCTCACGACGAAGGAAATGTTTCGACGTACCAGTCGCAACGCGAACCGGTTACGCGCTCTTAAAATAGTTTCTCACGCGTAGGTAACTGGTACGAGGCGTGCTCCTGTTCATTGGAAATACGCTGATCGATGTGCAAGGTAAATATCGATACGCATATATACACACAAACACATATACATATACATATGTGAGTCGTTTATTTTCAAAGTTGTTTCAAATCATTTTTCCAGTTGGTTGGATTACTGTAATATCTGGTAACAGTGTACACTATCTGAAGTTTGATGTCATATCAAATCATTTTATAGAAAATTAAAAAGTGATTTTAGGTCAGTTTCATAAAAAAAATTGCTCATATAAAGTTTCCACATTGTTTAAAATTATTTGTGCAGTTGTTTGTTGGTTTACAGTAGTATTTGGTAACGTGTATTACCTGGTAACATGTGCTAACTGAAGTTTGCTGTTGTATAAAATCATTTTGGAGGGAAATAAGAAAGTGAAGTTAGGTCAATTTCAAAGTTAATTGCTCATATATAGTTTTTAAATTGTTTAAAATTATTTGTTTAGTTGTTTATTAGTTTACTGTACTATTTGGTAACGTGTAATAGCTGGTAACATGTGCCAACTGAAGTTTGCTATGATTTAAAATCATTTTAAAGGAAATTAAAAAGTAGTGTTAGGTCAATTTCAAAATAAATTACTCGTATTTATTGTCTAAGTTATTTAAAATCCATTTGTTTAGTTGTATATTGGTTTACTGTACTATCTGGTAACTTGTACTAGCTGGTAACATGTGTAAACTGAAGTTTGCTATCATATAAAATCATTTTAAAGAATATTAGAAAGTAGTGTTAGGTCAATTTCAAAGTAAATTGCTCATATATAATTTCTAACTTGTTTAAAATCATTTGTTTAGTTGTTTATTGGTTTACTGTACTATTTGGTAACGTGTATTACCTGGTAACATGTGCTAAGTGAAGTTTGCTGTCATATACAATCATTTTATAGAAAATTAGAAAGTTGTATTAGGTCAGTTTCAATATAAACAACTCATATATAAGTATATATATCTTCTAAATTATTTAAATCTATTAGCTCAATAATTGTTGGTTAGTTAACTTTATTACTTGGTAGCATGTATTACCTAGTAATTTGTACTATCTGAAGTTTGTTGTGGTATACAATTATTTGGGGTGAAAAAAAGAAAGTTGTGTTAGGTCAATTTCAAAGTAAATTCCTCATTTATATTTTCTAAGTTGTTTAAAATCATATATCCAGTTGTTTATTAGTTTACTGTACTATTTGATAACATGTAATAACTGGTAACATGTGCTAACTGAAGTTTACTGCTGTATAAAATCATTTTGGAGGGAAATAAGAGAGTGAAGTTAGGTCAATTTCAAAATAAACAACTCATATATATGTTCTAAGTTGTTTAAAATCATTTATCCAGTTATTTATTAATAACCTGTACTACCTGGTTGCATATAATACTTGGTACCATGTACTACCTGAAATTAGCTGTTTTATAAATTCATTTTGTAGAAAAAAAGTGAATGAAACTAATTCAGTTTCAAAATAAACAATTCATATATGTAAAAATATTTTTTATAAATTGTTAAAAATCATTTGTCCAATTGTTTTTTAATTAATTGTACTATTTGGTAGCATGTAGTACCTGCAATTAATTGTTTTATAAAAATATTTTGCAAAAGAACAAGAAAGTTGAGTTAGAACACTCTCAAAATAACTGTCTCATATATATAGATAGATTTTTCCTAAATTGTTTAAACTATTTACTGAGTTCTTTTGTTAATTAACTGTACTACTTGGTAGCATGTATTACTTGGTATCATTTACTACCTGAAATTAGCTGCTGTATGAAATCACTTTACCAGAAAAAAAGAACATAATGTTAGATCAGTTTCAAAATAAATTGCTCTTATATAGATGTATGAATGTGTATAAACATATAAGAAAATGATTGTAATAGTTCAATGTGTATATAATAAACAAATACATACAAAGTTTTATCTTTAATTTGAAATGACGAAATGCAATAAAGTTGTCAACATTTGATTACTCAACAATTTATTCTATAATAATTGCGTAGAATTATTATACAGTAAATTACGTATATTCATAGTTATTATCAATATCTTTAGGTCATTCAGTTCAAAGTTTAAATCTTTCAGAAGATCAAGTTCATCATTTCGAAATCGATTAAGTCATTTTCAAGTTTTTTTTTTTGTTTAACTTTTTTTTAAAACAGTATTACGTCTTTGATTGTTTATTTCTTGCGTAGTTTCCTAGTATAATAGTATAATAACAAAAGACGATGAAAATATAGTTACTTTTTATTCTTTGTTTTGTTTTGAATAATTAACAGATTCATTATAATTAAATAAACTTTGTTTCTTTAAATGTTATTTAAATTCTATTGAATATATTTATAATAAATAATTTTTAATGAATAAATTAAATTATATTTAAACAATCTTTCCTTCTTTAAATATAATCTTTAATAAAATTCTTATTTAATACTAATTAATTAATTATTAAATTAATTATTATAATTATAACATAATTGAATTAATTAATTATTAAAAATTCTTGTTTTCATTTTTCAAAGTTATTCTGATTAACAACGAATTTAAATAACTGTTAAATAATAATATAATTATAAAATAAATATTAATACAATCAAAAATGATTTTTGCATATATTAACAAATAAATAATGCAAGATTGAATGTACCTATGAAAATCGTACACGAACTTTTGCAATCACTCAATATATATATATATGTATGTATGTGTGTTGTATCTAATCAAATGCGCACTGTATTAAAAGATCAGATAAATTGTTAAAGCGTGAACAAGATTTCTCAATCGTGTTAACTTCGATTTATCGTTCAAGTTGTATCGACAAATATATCTCAACATATTTAGACATTTTATTTTATCTTAAACTTTTCATCTTTCTTTTAATTAAATTACATTGGTTTCAGTATTTCTAATATTTTTTTTTAATATTATATATATCAAGACTTAATTATATGAAAGACAAATATTTAAACAAAAATTCAAACTATTTATATATTTATTTAATATATCATTTGATAAAATCAATGCAACTCTAAATAAATGTCCAGTAAACATAATATAATCAATTATGAATAAATAAATATATTAAATAAATATTTCAATGAAATGAACAATATTCAAATGATTATCAAATAATTATTCATTTTTTTTAATTATATATTTTGCAATATATACTTTTTATAGTTTAAGTACTGATGAACAATGTTTTCCTATTAATTAATAATTATTATATATATATATATATATATATTAAACTGTAAAATATATAATATAATATATACTATTATAAAATAAAATTAAAAAACTTGATTTATAACATAACCTATTAGGAATAAATAAATATTACTATAATATAAATATTCAACTGAAAAATAAATGCTATTCAAATAATTCAATTTAAATTCAATAATGAAATTATAAAATAAATATTGCAACATATACACACATATTATTTACACACAAATCAAAAATAGTAATTAAAATTAATGATAAACAACATTATCCTACTAATTAATAATCAATTTAATTAAATATTAAAATACACACATAAATAT